GTAGAATTGCCCCATAAGGTTTCCAAGGAGCAACTGGTGGATTCGAACTGTTGACCTTTTGGTTAGCAGCGGAGCTCTTTAACCACTGCACCACCAGGGCCCCAATAAAAGTCCAGAAACAATAAAAATATTTAATACTATAAATATGCATATGATAGTATTGACATTTCAGCCCATAGAGAAAGGATAGATTATTCAGTAAATGGTATTGGGAAAAATGACTGAGCATTAAGGAAAAAAAAATCAGCTTAGATCCTTAGCTCAATTCTAACATCAAAAGTAAATGGTACAGGGACAACTGTCAAACCAATTAAAGATATTTTTATAAGTGAGATTCTTAACACATTCCTAACACTGAAATATTTTCAAATAATTAAAAAATAAAATGAAAATCATTAAAAGCATAGAGAAGTATTTATTATAAATATGCAGAAGGGACAATTTCCCACGGATGATATAAAACATAAAAATGTAAAGGAAAATATGAGTAGATGTAAACACGCTAAAATTTAAGATGTCTGTATATTTTTAAAAAGCCATATTCATTACATTCAGATTGTCACATGCATTTATAAAAGATTTTGCAAAGTGCTTTCCTATGATTCTTTTAATTTTTTTTATATCTGGTCATTTGCCTTTCTCATTTCTAATTTTAGTTATTTGTCCTTTCCTTTTCTTAATTAGGTCAGGTGCTGTTAGCTGAAAACAGATTCAACATGAAAGGCAAATGACAAATCAGGGAAATATTTGCAACATATGAAAAAAAATGTTTAGTGCTCTTATTATATAAAGAGTTTCTCTAAAGCTAAAGAGTAGAGAAAATAAAAAATGTTCAAACAGAAAAATGGGTAAAAGAATTTTAAAAAGGAACAAAAATGGTAATAACCATAAAAAACTGTTTAACCTTTGTACTGAAAGAAATACAAGTCAAAACAACAAATGATAGATTTTTTTCTTACCTATAAAGTTGGTAAAGATGTGTGTGTTTCTCCAGTTCTTGTCCATTGTGACCCATGGCAACCACATGTGTGTCAGAGTAGAACCATGTTCCATAGGGTTTTCAATGGCTGTGCTTCTTTGGAAGTAGATCACCAGGTCTTTCTTCCAAGGCACCTCTGGATGAATTTGAACTATAAACCTTTCAGTCAGTAGTTGAGTGAGTGCTTAACTACTTGCATCCCCAGAGATACATATATCCAGGGATTTATATATAGTTATATTTATACGTATATGTTTATTTATTTATAAATATATCTATCATTTTATATATATATGTGTAGGTGGCCACCTATTGATGTGTGGGCGTAAGAGTCTCTGTAACACTGTGTGTTTGGTCTAGTTAGGCTTGGAGTTAAGAGTTTACTCTGGTTTAAGAGAGTCATAGAGGGACAGATCCAGCCTAGGGGGCCAAACAGCGGTTGAGGAAGAAAAAAAAAAAAACAAAAAAGAGTTGACTCTTAGCTCTGAGAGATGTGAAACTGTAGCAACTTGTACCAGGAATTAGTTGAAAAACAAGTTCCCCCCAAAATTTCGCCTGGGCCTGGTCTTGGTTCAAGAAGGGAGAAGAAGCTGAAAGATAGTGGAGAATGCCATGTCCCCCAGAGAGTAGCCCTTTCCTCACTTGGACGAGCCCACACTCACAGATGGCAGAACAGTGAAGACAATGACTGATGAGTGGTCATATTGTCAGGAAATGCTTCAGTGAAGCTCAAGGACAAGGCCAGAGGAGGCAGAACTGCATCTTCAAGGCTCCCCCATAGCTGGTAGCAAGAAGCAAAGTGTGGGGTGAGGGTGGGGCAATAAAGGTGGGAGAAAGGAGGACTTAGATTGATAAGGGAGCTCCCGGTTAGTGCAAATGGTTAAGCAGCTGGAAGGTTGGCAGTTCGAACCCACCCAGAGATGCCTGAGGAGACAGTCCTGGCGACCTGCTTCAGGAAGGTCACAGCCTTGAAAACCCTATGGAGCAGCTCTACTCTGTGCGCATGGAGACTCCATCAGTCTGAATTGACTCAACAGCAACTAACAACAAGAACAGTTTGATGGGACCTGAGTGAGACCCACTTTTGGGATCATCATCTTTAGTCACCAGACAATTTATATCTTGCCTTTGCCAAGGATGCTGAAGAAAAAAGCACACGTTGGGCTATAGGCAGGTTTGAGGAGAGGCCCTAGTGGGATGATGAAGCCTGAATTAATGGGAGAAATTTCAGACAGTGAAAGACCCGCGGTGACATATCTACCCTGACAGTACATTGTGAGCCGTGTGGTTTGCGAACCGTGTCCGCCCTACTGAGCAGGGGATTTGCACGTGGCTGATTCCACCCAAGCTGATGGGAAATCAATCAGGAGAGAAGCAAGCACACGAGCTGCTAAAGAAATCAATGCCTGTCAGTTGCCTGTGATGGCATGAACCACTTCCTTCCAGTTCCTTCTCACAGCTACCTTAGCCTCTCCACTCTTCACTTATCTTTGACTGGCTGTCTGAGTAACCTTCATCTTCCATTCAAGCTTCCTTCCAAGTTGTACTTGGTGGAGGAGAGGGTGGTCAAAACCAAACTCACTTTTGCAGAGTCCATGCTGGCACATAGCGACCCTATAGGACAGAGCAGAACTGCCCCATAGGGTTTCCAAGGCTGTAATCTTTACAGAAGCAGACAGCCACATCTTTCTCCTGTGGAGTGGCTGGTGGGTTCCAACTGCCAACCTTTCAGTTAACAACTGAGCACTTTAACCACTGTGCCACCAGGGCTCCTCTTGAAATAAAATGTAAATGTTACATTTTCGACTCAGCAGAGATGACTGGACAAGAGCGAATCACAGAAAGTCTGCTGGGCTGGCTGTCAGGGACACCCTGTTCCCACTCAGCTCCACCTCTGATGGGGAGCAAGTCATTAGCTTCTCTTAGCCCCAGGTCTACTCTTGTGAAATGTTCAGGGGTTGGACTGTGTGATGGATAACATTTCTCCCAGCTTTAATATTTTGTGAGACTAAAGATGAGTAAAGAGCAAGAATGGATGATTTCCATAATGTCGGAAAACACTTGAAAAATGCTCCACCACCTTAATAATCAAAGAAATTCATATTAAAAGGAGAAACTTTTTAACCAATCAGGTTGGCAAAGATTTAATGAAGAAATGGTAATATCTTCCATTGGAATGGGTGAGGAGAAACAAGAGCTTTTTGATGCTGTTGGCAGTACACCTTTTCTAGAGGGCAGTTTGTTATATGTATCAAAGGTGTTAAAATGAGCATTATCTTTGATCTAGAAATTCCACTCGAATGAATTCTACCTCACTCTAGCCACTAGAAGCTTAGTGCCAACTTTTCTCCCATTGGCACTGCCAGTACAATTTTAAATACAATATAATTAAGTACTTTCATAAAGTACAATAAAATTAAGTACAATATAAGTACGAGTAATCCATAGCATTCTTTATACTATCCAAAAGGTAATTGTTAATTCTTCTTCACCCAGGACATATTATGTGACACACTATGGTAGGCTTGAGGGCACTCAAGAGATGTAGGATCAACATGGCCCACATACACACTAAACATGCCAGGTCCTCCCTGCAATTTCCTGCTCATCCACACATGCAGAGCCACCGTTTCAGGGGGTGATCCTGCCACCTGACCAAATGAGAGCCTGCTTTAACCAGGTTGTTGTGTGCCTTTCTACTGAAAGACCATTGGCTGCAGGACACAGAGAACATTCTATGGCTTGGTTGCCAAGGCCCTTCACAACTAAGCTCACCCCAGCCACAAGAAGAAGCTTCCTGACAACTTTGCCTCCAACTGGCAACTGCCTGCCTGTTCAATCACTGCCCCCACACACCCTCTGGCCTCCTGTCATCAGTGAGCCCACGTCCTCTCTACCGCTCCCAATCCTCCCCTCTTTCAGTGGTGGCTCCCTTCTTGGGAGCCACAATAACCTTGTTTCCACAATAACCTGTTGTTGTGGATTGAATTGTGCCCCCCATCCAAAAAAAAAAAAGCCCTAAGAGAATGCCACCATCCTAAAGAAAACATGAGTTGATAAAGGTTTGTGGCAGCCTCATATAAAAAAAAAAAAATTATATTGAAATCCTAACTCCTGGTACCTGTGAATGTGACCTTGTTTGGAAATAGTGTCTTTGGAGATGTTATCAGTTGCATTAAAAAGAGGTCAGGCTGAGCAGAGTGGGTCCTAATCTCATCTGAGTGGTGGCCTTTAAAAAAGAAGAGACAGAGAGATACAGGAAGGACGCCATATTATGCTACAGCTGTAAGCCAAGAACACCTGGAGCTATCAGAAGCTAGAAGAGAGGAATAGAACAGATTCTCCCTCAGAGTCTCAGAAGAACTCAACAAGGCCAACACCTTGCTTCCAGACTCCCAGCCTCCAGAACTGTGAGACAATACATTTCTGTTCTTATAAGCCACCCAGTTTGTGGTATTTTGTTACGGCAGCTCTAGGAAACTCATACACCTGTCCTCACATACGGCTGTCACATTCACTGCACATACACTCTAGCATATTAGTATATACTGTGTTTTTTGCTCACTTTTGTTTCAGGTATATCTATCTTTCCAATAGTAAGATCCCTAAAACTGGTGCTATGTCTTAGGAAAGACTGCATGACATAGGAGGAATAACAGAATATGAAATCAGACAAACCTAGGTTTAAATTTTGTGTGATGTTGGGTAAATTACTTCTCTGAGCTTGAGTTTTATCATTTATAAAATGGGAACTACAGTAACTATTTCACAGAGTTGACATGTGGTTAATGGGATAATTGTTGGTCACTTGCCACAATGCCTGCTCTGTAACACATACATAGAAAATGTTAGTTCCCTCTTCCTTATTCTACTTGGGAAGAGTGGGACTTGACCTGTAGTCATTTTAGATAAGATCTTGTGACCAGACCTCAAGGACACTAGGACAAATAAGTGACCTGTGTGGGAGGAGAGCAGCAGTTGGTGGACCAAAGAAGCGCCTGTGTGCCCTGCAGCCTCTTACCCGATGATGGTCAGAGGGATGAAGTACACCAGGAAGGCCACGATGGTCATGTACAGTGTCCAGTAAGAGTTGTCAGGCCACAGGGCCCAGCGCTTCACTTCTCCGTTGGAGAGTTTCCTTTTCCCAAATATGATCAGGGTGGGAATGGAGAACAGGAAAGAGAGGCTCCAGGCAATCCCGACGAGGACTTTGTCTTGCTTCTCTGCTCAAAGAGAAGAGAGGGATGCCTGGACACCTGGAAACATCCTTGGGGAGCATATCCGGAGTCTAGTGTGGACAAGAACCACTGTGCGAGTCACCCTGGGCCTCTCAGGGCCTCTCAGGGCCTCAGTTCCTCATGTGCAACGTAAGGATAATGGTATAGGGTCGCTATGAGTTGGAATGGACTTGATAGCAATGTGTTTGGTTTTTTTTGGTACAGAGTTGACATAAGGATTAAAAAGAGAATGCTTTTACAGAAGAGAGCACGCTGCCTGGCATGAGGTGACTGCTACTTCCCTTCTTCTTCACTGATTTACCCACCTGATTCTTGAAATGTTGATGCATCCAGTCCTCTAGTGTTAGGGAGCTCAGTGTGTACCGTACGCATTTGAAAGGTCGCTTTGCAAACGCTAAGTTGTGTGTTGTATCCACCAACATGTGCTCAGCCTCTCTAACCTCACTGACTGCACAGGCAGGGTCAGGGCCCTTGGTCTGTCTGGCCTTCTTCCATTCTACCTAGTGCTGCAATGCACTAGGGCAGTATTTGAGGGTTGCTGGCACAGTGGTTAAGAGCTCAGCTGCTAACCTAAAGACTGGTAGTTCAAATCTACCAGCCGCTCCTTGGAAACCCTATGGGGCAGTTCTACTCTGTCCTATAGAGTCGCTATGAGTAGAAATTGAGTCGACAGCAATGGGTTGGGTTTTTTTTGGTTTGGTCAAATGTTAAGGAGTCCAAACAAAGCAAGTGGGCCAAGTTTACCATCTTTTCTTTGTAGGAACAGGGAAGGAATGGTGTAACAGAGAAAGAACACTGAATTTGGTTCTGGAAACCAGGGTTCAAACCAAGCTCTAGTTTGAAGGGGAGCAATGGGAGTTTGGGTTAGGAAGGAAGCATTGAGCAGAATGGAGTTAAGAGAGCAAGTGGCGTGGCTGGAGGGATTTTCTTCCTGATAACAAGGTTAAAATTTAGTGGATTTCTAAGGACCTTGGCAACACTAGTAATTGCTCCTGCATGGTCTTATTCTCTCACTGGTTAAAGAAAACCAAAGGAGTTGCCATCGAGTCAGTTCTGACTCGTGGTGACTTCATGTGTGTCAGGGTAGAACCGTGCTCCACAGCGTTGTCAGTGGCTGATTTGTTTGCAAGTAGATCACCAGGACCTTTTTCTGGGGTTCCTCTGGGTAGACTTGAACCTACAACCTTTCGGCTAGCAGCCAAGCATGTTTACTGTTTGCACCACCCATTTATCTACTTGTGTAGGTTTTAGAGCCTGAACTTTTGGGATAATCTGTGACTCCTGGGACCCACTCAGATTCCACTTGATGAGGAAACAATGCAATCACTTTTGAGTGGGATGAACATGGAAATAAATGGATTAAAAGAAGCAGGACACTATGTTTTAGAAGAAACTCTACCAAGGGACCAAAAAACGTTTCCTCGAAGTCCCATCAGCGCACATGCTTGGAGTTGCTTTTCTCATACTGGTGCTGGGCTATACTGGGAAATCCCCACTGTCTTAGTATCCTAGGCAGCCAAGTGTTGGGAGGACAACCAATAAGGGCCAGGTGTGCAGCCTGTGAACACACAATGGCAGGAAGACTGCTGCCTTTCCAGGCAACTGAGCCCATCTGCTATGGAGAATGAGTGCTCAGGGACCGAACAGATGAAATGCAGGTTAGAGTACTAGGTGGACTGTCTCCTGTGTCCTCCAAAGTGGCTGTGTCTGTCACTGGCCTAAAGTCAGAGTCCTTCTTCCATTTGCTCTTGTCCAGTGCTGTACTTCTCTGCTTTTGCCTTCTCCTTTTCTATACAACACATATATTTCTTTTAATCACTAAGTAACACATGGTGATCACAGAAACATTAGGAAATACAAATAAGCAAAAAAAGAGGAAAAGAAAAAAAAAATCCATAGTGTCACCACTCAGAAATAGCTAGTTGAAATTTTGGTATGCATCCATATATATTGTCTAGATTACATATATAAAAATGAGATCATAATATACCTGCTGCTTTGTAGCCTAGTTTTTTTCTCTGAAACAAATATTATGACTATCTTTTCATGTCAAGAAATCTACATCGATACAAATGCATTCAGACATTTTCAGTCAGTAGGATCCTTTCTTCAAATATAATTTTATGTTGAGACCAGTATAGAAATGTACAGGGGGCTCAGGGAGCTTAGGTTGAAGCTGGCCAGAGCCCCCAGACCCACCCTGAGGCAATGCCACAAAAACAAACAAAAAAGGAGTCCTCTGGGGGTCAGTGAAGCACAATTTGAACAGCACTGGTAATAATAATTTTTCAATGTTTGCACCAAACTCTAATTTTGTAAATCGCCTATTATTAAGTATATAAATTGTGTTTAATTATCTTTTATTATAAATGATCCCTATGTATCTTTTTTAACTGCTCTGGTTATTTCTTTAGGATGAATTCTGAGGGGAAAATGTATAAGCCTTTGGCAAATATTGTTAAATTTCCCCTGAGAGTGTCTACAACTTATGGCTCCCACTGGAAGTGTACACGAGTTCCCATTTCCTCCCACTCTCCAACACTAAAGGTTCTGCCGTCTCATCTTATTACCTGATAGGGAAAATTTCCTGTCTGAATGCTCAGTTTTGCAATTCTTTGGTGGTCAAAATGAGCATCACTCGGAATCAACCCGATGGCAATGAGTTTTGTTTTCATGTCTCCTGTTCGTCCACATTTCTTCATTCCGGTAAAGTTCACTCATGTCCTTCACCCATTGTAACGGGTGTATTCTTGTATTTTCTGTTATCTGCCAGAATTCTTTATAAGAAGAACGTTAACCCTTTGCTTGTTGTATAAAGTACAAATGTTTTCCATTTGTAATTTTGCTTTTTAAGTTTGTTTACGAGGTTTATTTAGACAAAGAAATATTATGTTTTTTATGTAGTAAAAACGGTCTTCATTCTCTTGGCTTTTGGTGTTCTTCGTAGAAATGTCTTTCCCTCCCCAAGGTGATACAAATTTTACTCATCTATCCTTTTAATAATTTTATGTGTAAAATTTTTACCTCTTTAATCCTACTGGAATTTATTTTGTAGTTAGCTGTGACATGTGTTGATCTAATCTTTTCAAATTATTAGACAGCTATTTTCCTACCACAGACTAGTTTTTTCTAACAGATTTGAAATTCTATGTGTTTTATATATAGCTATTCTGGTTCTGGAGTCCCTAGGTGGTACAAATGGTTATCGTGCTTAGCTGCTAACCAGAGGTGCCTTGGAAGAAAGACCTGGCCATCTACCCCCAAAAAATCAGCTATTGACAACCCTATGGAGCACAGTTCTACTCTGACACACTTTGGGTCACCATGAGCCAGAACAGACTCAACCGCAACTGGAAAAAAATTCTGGTTCCAGTATCACATTCTTTTAATCAGCAACATGTTATATTATGTTTTAATACCTGACACTGCAGCTCTCTCTTTATTATTAGCCAACATTTTCCTAATTGTTCTCACACTTGTATTTCCAAAAAAACCTTAAAATCGTCACCTTTTCTAGATTTGTTGCTAAGGAAATTACGACTTTAGTAAAAAAGAGTAAAAAATAAATTGTGGCTCCCCTTCTTCTCTTGGTTTAATTGCCCTTGCCTTGTGCCTGCTCAGCCACGTTTGATCCCGCCCAGCTCCCACCCACTCCATGACATTAGTCTTTCGTCTCTTTTTTCTCTCTTGCAATATGCAAGTCTCTTTTACTCTTTCGTGCAATATGTATTATATTCTCTCCTGATCTTCTCTTTCTCTCTTTGTCCATAATATCTGGCATTCTTTTGACTTTTTTCTTTTCACTAATGTCATCATACTGCACGGATTATTGTGCACATTGTTTTTATCACTCAAAATGAGATGTAGATATTTTCGTGTCCGTGGATCTACCACCTCCATTGAGAGACAGGATGTGTAAAGTTGAGGACACTTAAGTTAGACCCCAACTCTCTGAGTTCAAATCCTGTCTCTGCGTTTACTAGCTGTGTGACCTTGGGCAAGTTACTTTAACTTTCTGGATTGCAATTGCCTTGTCTGTAAAATGCATATGTTAATAGAACCTAGATCACAGAGCTGTTGTGAGGATTAAAGTAATATATATATATTGCCTGCCCTTTGCCATTGAGTCAATTCCAACTCATAGCAACCCTATAGGATGGAGTAGAACTGCCCCATAGGGTTTCCAAGGCTGTAATCTTTATGGAAGCAGACTTCCACATCTTTCTCTGTCGGAGAAGCTGGTGGGTTCAAACTGCTGACCTTTCAGTTAGCAGGTGAATGCTTAACCACTGCACCACCAGGGTATGGCATAAAGTATGCACTTAATGAACATAAGCTACCTAAAACTTCTACGATAAGATAGTTAGCCATTTCTCTACTGAGGGACACCAAGGTTAGCTTGAATTTTTGCTATCCTGAGCAATGCTATAGTATACTATATATATGTGTACACGCCTCCTTCTGCACACACATGGGTGTTTCCTGAGAGCAGATACCAAGAAGTAGAATTTCTGTGTCAAAGGGCCGCACATTTTATATTTTAATAGATATGGCTAACTTGTCCTTCAAAGTATCTGCACCAACCTACAGCTCCACCAGTAGTAAACTTAATTTCCATATCTCCACACCTTGCAGTTCCCTGATGATAGTAATTACGTGTATTCTAAAGTCTTGTTCTACTTGCGTTATTAATTTTGTTTCCTTAGGTGTAAATTCTGCAGAATGGTATTTTAAATTTAGTGTCTACATTCCACAGTGTTGGCTTTTGTCACATTTTTATGATATTTGATTACATCTTTGTAGTCAAGTTTCCCTGTTAGGGTCTTCATTTTCTGAGTTTTCAAAGCCTGTTTGAAGGGTAATGCACTTCACTGAACATTGGATTCTTGTGAGCTATCAGGGGAATGGAGGACAGTGGGCAGACAGGGAGCTTGTCCTGTGACCAGGCACCCACCATTCATCCAGGGCATTATTTTTTCCCAGGACTCCATTCTTTCTTTTCAAACCCAACATCGTACCACTTGAAAGTAGATACCTTCATCCCTGCTGCCTGTCTGGGATATGGGAGGGCAGCAGGAGGAGAGACCTGCTGTGATTAACTTTTCTCCTCATTGTGCTGGAGAAATCACCCTGTCAGTTGCCTTGAACTGTTTGTCATTCACCCCATCTACTCAGGAAGCACTTGCAATAATTCTGCATCGCTGCAGTGTCTTCTGTGAGTATTGTGGGCCTTCCCTGTGTGGTTTCAGCCTTACCTCTGACCCATATGCTTCCTTCATTCATAGATTCCTTACTGGTTCTAGACCAAGGAGGATTTTCTTTCTTGTTTCCCAGTATGATTACCAATTCAAAATTATTTTCTATCATTTTTGGGGTGTTGAGATAAGGAGGGCACAGGAGTTTGTATCTGGGAAGTGAGCAAGTTGAGTGGGATGTTCCTTTCTTTGGAAGGTGTATGTATCAATACTGCTGTAAAGGAAAAGGAGGGAAAGTGTTAGCACCAAGGTGGATGATCACAAAGTAAGCCAAGCAAACCACCTTCCTTAGTGGCTTCAGACCTTTCATGGAAACATCAGCATTTTTCCAGGCTGTCAAACTTTCTTTTTTACATCTTTTTGGGCAGTAAGACCCGTGAGGTAGGGAAGGGGATAAAGGAGAAGAACGAGGAGGAGAGAAGGAGAAGAAAGGGGGAGTAAGAGAACTATTATTAAGAATATATCAGTAAACCTTAAACCAAAAATATCCCCTGAAGTCTTCTTAAGGAGCCCTGATGGTGCAGTGGTTAAGCCCTTGGCTACAAACTGAAAGGCTGGTGGTTTGAAGTCACCAGCTGCTCTGAGGGAGAAAGACGTGGCAGTCTGCTTCTGTAAACTTCTGTAAAGATTACAGTCTTGGAAACCCTATGGGGCAACTCTATTCTGTCCTAGAAGGTCTCTATGAGTTGGAATTGACTTGACAAATTTTTTTTTTTAAACAGAAATCTTCTTAAAACCAAACAACAGTTTGGCTTAACTAGTAAAGAATGTCTGCCTTGAGCATTGTTCTTTATCTATATGGGATCAAATTGACAACAGCAACTCGAAGGATTAAATAGGAAATTTAGGGGGCAGTGAGTTTATGTTAATGTGGGGGGAACAACTCAGAAAAGGAGGATGAGAACAGTTGCACAGCTCATAGAACATAATCAGTGTGATTGAATTGTACGTATAGAAACTGTTGAATTGATGCTCCGTATGTTCTTCTCTGTATATTCTGAACAACAACAACAAAAATAAATTATACATAAAAGAATATATTACTGAAAACAATCCCACCCTTACCCAAGGATGACTCCTCACAAAACAGCTCATGGTCGAGCCAGCTCACCTCTTTGCAGGAACTTCATGGGGTAGACGATGGCATGGTACCTGTCTATACTGAGGGACACCAGGACGTAGGTAGAGGCGTAGAGCAGCACAACCTGAAGACAGAATTGAGAGGAGATTTATACTTCACAGAGGTGAGGGAATGCACATCATGGAAAGAGTAGGATTGTGTGATATTTAGAAACGTGGGTACTGAACCAAGGGAGGGGTGGGGGTTGGGCTAGAGAGCAGAACGACTGACTCTGAAGCCAGGAAGCAGATTGCTGTTCCTGGCGCTGGGACTTACATTGCAACTGTGACAGGTGAGAATGCTTCCAGCTCTGACTTGCTCCCTCACTTACTTGGCTTCTCGCAAATCCCACATTTCAGGATCTGACCCTCTTGACATTTCTATGGTACATTTGTTTGTAATTGACTCTTAAAGCTAAACTGATTTTCTCCACCACAATTGACATTCCAGAATAATTAGAAACAAAAGTTCATTTGCCTTTTATCAGTGAAAGTTGTTGAGAGACAATAGAAGAAGGGTTGGGGAGTTTCAGGGCGTCTATGTGCTATTTTGAATCATTTATAAGCATCAGCTCTGGCACATCAGAGCTTCTCTACCTTGTCTACTTCTCTAGCAGGGCTGCTCACTAGGGTCAGTCCCTAGGTCTCCTCTTCCTGCTTCCCGCTCTGTCTTTGTTAATCTTACCCATGCCCTTTAATTATTCTGTGTATGGTATTATTTGCACACTTTGCAGATAAGGAAATTGGGATATAAGAGGCTAACATCTCTTAAGTGAAGAACATATTCAAAATGTAATTAAATGCAATGTTATGAAAGGATGATCAAGGTGCAAATTTTTCAGGCAAGTTGGAGCCTCATTTCTTCCAAAAGCCCAGCTATATCTCGGCCTCATAACCTTAGGGTGAAACCCAGAGAGTGTATAACAGTAACTAGAAAATGAGTCTGAGTCTTGGACTTCTTTCTAAAACGAAATAAAAATTACAAGACTTTGATGATAATCTTTGTTCTGAATTTGTAACTTCGTGTTTTTTCACTGACTCAAGTAACAATTACATTGTTGTTCTTTATTATGTTATTTCTTTAACATTACCAAAATTTTGCCCATCTAAAAAAAGCAAACCAAACCTGTTGCTGTTGAGTTGATTCCAACTCATAGCAACCCTATAGGACAGAGTAGAACTGCCCCAGATGGTTTCCAAGGAGTGGCTGGTGGATTTGAACTGCCAACCTTTTGGTTAGCAGCCAAGCTTTGAACCACTGTACCACCAGGGCTCCTATTTTGCCTGTAGAAACCTTCAATATTGCAAACTTGAGGCTTGAATGTTTTCTTCAGTTCTTTCAGCTTGAGAAATGCCAATCATGTTCTTCCCTTTTGGTTTTCTAACTCCAGGTCTTTGCACATTTCATTACAATACTTTACTTTGTCTTCCTGAGCCACCCTTTGAAATCTTCTGTTGAGATCTTTTACTTCAACATTTCTTTCATTCGCTTCAGCTAGTCTATGTTCAAGAGCAAGTTTCAGAGTCTCTTCTGACATCCATTTTGGTCTTTTCTTTCTTTCCTGTTTTTTAATGACCTCTTGCTTTCTTCATGTATGATGTCCTTGATGTCATCCCACGACTCATCTTGTCCTTGGTCATTAGTGTTCAATGTGTCAAATCTATTCTTGAGATAGTCTCAAAATTCAGGTGGGGTATACTCAAGGTTGTACTTTGGCTCTCATGATTTGTTTTAATTTTCCTCAGCTTCAACTTGAACTTGGCTATGAGAAATTGATAGTCTGTTTGGCAATCAACCCCTGGCCTTGTTCTGATGATATTGAGCTTCTCCATCATCTCTTTCCACAGATATAGTCAATTTGATTTCCATGTATTCCACCTGGTGAGGACCATGTGTATAGTCACGGTTTATGTTTTTGAAAAAGGTATTTGCAATGAATATTTTGATCTTTAAGATTTCTATCATGCATTCTCCAGTGTCGCCAGGGCCATATTTTCCAATTACTGATCCTTCTTCTTTACTTCTAACTTTTGCATTTTAATCACCAATAATTATCAGTGCATCGTGATTGTATGTTTGGTCAGTTTCAGACTACAGAAGTTGGTAAAAAACTTCACATTCTTCATCTTTGGCCTTAGTGGTTGATGTGTAAATGTGAATAATAGTTGTATTAATTTGTCTTCTTATAGGCATATGGATATTATCCTATCACTGACAGCATTGTACTTCAGGATAGATCTTGAAATATTCTTTTTGATAATGAATGTGATGCTGTTCCCCTTCAATTTGTAATGCCCGGCAGAGTAGACCATATGATATTCCGATTCAAAATGGCCCATACCGGTCCATTTCAGCTCACCAATGCCTAAGATATCGATGTTTATGTGTCCCATTTCAATTCTGATGACTTCCAATTTTCCTACATTCATACTTCATACCTTCCATGTTCCGATTATTAATGGATGCTTGCAGCTGTTTTTTCTCATTTTGCGTCATGCCACATCAGCAAATGAAGGTCCCTAAAGCTTTACTCCATTTGTGTCATTAAGGTCGACTCTACTTTGAGGAAGCAGCTCTTCCCCAGTTGTATTTTGAGTGCACTCCAACCTGAGGGACTCATCTTTCTGCACCATATCAGACAATATTCCCCGGCTATTCGTAAGGTTTTCATTGACCAATTTTTTAAGAAGTAGACTGCCGGGTCCTTCTTCCTAGTCTGTCTTAGTCTGGAGGCTCTGCTGAAACCTGTCCACCACGGGTGACCCAGCTGATATTAGAAATACCAGTGGCATAGCTTCCAATATCACAGCAACACACAAGCCACCACAGTATGACAAAATATTAGAAGTAAAATATTGAATGACACAGGAAACATCAAAAGAAAATGGAGGGAAAACACAGTCACTGTACCACAAAGAATTGATCCATGGAAGGAATACAGAGTTACTGCACCAAAAAGAATTGGTCAACTTTCAACCATTTTAGAAGGTAGCATATGATCAAGAACCAATGGTACTGAAGGAAGAAGTCCAAGCTGTACTGAAGACACTGGTGAAAAACAAGGCTTCAGGAACTGACAGAATACCAACTGAGATGTTTCAACAAATGCATGCAGTGCTGGAGGTGTCTATGCCAAGAAATATGGAAGACAGCTTCCTGGCCAACTGACTGGAAGAGATCCATATTTATATCCATTCTGAAGAAAGGTGATCCAACAGAATACATAAATTATTGAACAATATCATTAATGTCACACACAAGTAAAATTTTGCTGAAGATCATTCAAAAATGATTGCAGCAGTACAACAGGGAACTTCCAGAAATTAAAGCTGGATTCAGAAGAGGACATGGAACAAGGGATATCATTGCTGATGTCAGATGAATCCTGGCTGAAAGCAAAGCATACCAGAAAGATGTTTACCTGTGTTTTATTGACTATGCAAAGGCATTCAGCCATGTGGATCATAACAAATTGTGGATAACATTGCGAAGAATGGGGATTCCAGAACACTTAATTGTGCTGCAGAGGAACCTGTACATAGACCAAAAGGCAGTCATTAGAACAGAGCAAGAGGATACCACATGATTTAAAATTAGGAAAGTTGTGCATTAGGGTTGTATTCTTTCACCATACTTATTCAATTTGTATGCTGAGCAAATAATCCGAGAAGCTGGACTGTATGAAGAATCCAGGATTGGAGGAAGACTCATTAACAACCTGTGATATGCAGATAACACAATCTTTCTTGCTGAAAGTGAAAAGGTCTTGAAACATTTACTGATGAAGATGAAAGACTACAAACTTCAGTATGGATTACACTTCAACATAAAGAAAATAAACTCTCACAACTGGACCAATAAGCAACATTATGATAAATGGAGAAAAGATTGAAGTTGAAAAGGATTTCATTTTACCTGGATTCACAGTCAATGCCCATGGAAGCAGCATTCGAGAAACCAAACGACATATTGCATTGGGCAAATCTGCTGCAAAAAAACCCATTAAAGTGTTGGAAAGCAAAGATGTCACTTTGAGGGCTAAGGTGCACTTGACCAAAGCCATGCTACTTTCAACTGTCTCATATGCATGCGAAAGCTGGACAATGAATAAGGAAGCCCGAAGAAGAACTGACGCCTTTGAATTATGATGTTGGCAAAGAATATTGAATATATCATGGACTGTCAAAAGAATGAACAAATCTGTCTTGGAAGAAGTACAGCCAGAATGCTCCTTAGAAGCAAGAATGGCGAGACTTTATCTCACATACTTTGGACGTGTTATCAGGAGGGATCAGTTCCTGGAGAAGGACATCATGCTTGGTAAAGTAGAGGGGCACTGAAAAAGAGGAATGAGATGGATTAACAGAGGCTGCAACAATGGGCTTAAGCCTAGCAATGATTGTGAGGATGGTGCAGGACTGGGCAATGTTTCTTTCTGTTGTACATAGGGTTACTATGAGAAGGGATCAACTGGACGGCACCTAACAACAATGACAGAAACATCACCAAAAATACATTCTAGCAACAATGTTGTGGAAGGTGCCACAGGGAGGGGTTCTGAGGACTCATCAGAGATTGAAGACCCTTCTGGGGAACATAAGAAGAAATTCTCCTTTTGGTAAAGAAAAAATGATTAATGTAGAGAAAAGAAAAAGATGGCTAAATTGAAGAAAGAAATCAGACAATTGTCTCCTTAGGGAAAGGTGGGTGTTCGATGTATGATTCATGAATTCAGAATAATTGAGGCTGGCTATGCACAGCAAGGATGTGACATCAGTACCAAGTGAACAGATTCATGAAGGTTGGAAAATAGAGCACTCAACTGTGGAACCCACGGGGTTGTATGTTGTGATGGGAAGGCCATGAGTCTCCCGACATCTGGGCTCTCTTGAGTGAGGTGGCTGACACAAGTTCAGAATCCGGAGCAGGAGGAGGAGTTGCAAGGGAGCATGACCCAAGGAGCAGCCAACATTAATAAAGAGAGATCTATTGTACTTTCAGACACAAAAAGTATTTAATTTCAGGGATTAAACATCTTCAAACATGTAGGCAGGGTGAAAAAAAAAGAAAAGAAAAAGAAAGATT